TACTATTGGTTGGGATTTTACATCATCGCTGAAGCATCTATGTATTGAATACAAATACAGACTGTGCAAGCAATATATTTCATGGCTCTATGTCCACCATTGCTCAATGCAGGACATCGGCTGTCTTCAACAACTAAATAAGGCGTAGAGCAGAAGTGAGCGACATATAACATTTGAAGGCTTTCTTAAATATTGCCTTCCATGCTCGACAATTTGTCCAGTCCAGTATTTTCTCGAAAATAAACAAAACTAGACAGTAGATCTTTTCACTCTAAAATTTTTGTTATCCTCCATTCAGTAGGTCAAGTCAATTGTCAATCTGTCAATCGCTATTTCAAGTTTTTCACTCAATCCCTTTCATTTACCGTTAAATTTCTTTTTTCTCTTTACCATCTCAGAGATGTTGCTATTTACTTATAAATGTTGACCCATGTATGAGTTCGTGTGGCCTAGTTTACAAAGTTTCAAATATTAATTCAAGTTTGTTGACTCTGGATTTGGTTGTGGTCTGGTAGACGAATTCTGGTGTACGTGTCCCGTTTCAAAGGGTAAATAAGCTTGGTCATTTAAAAAGTCATCTTTTCGTAATTTCTTTGCTTTCCACACTTAACATACCCATTGACAGACCATTTTAAAACTTGATAATGATAATAGATAAATGGTCCATAATGTAATCCCCCTTACTCTAATTTCTTTCATGAATTGTATAAGAAACTCTTTGTAAGTCTGTAGGCTACTAACAACCTAATGACTCTTTTCTAACTTTTTGGCAGTGAATATTTTAACCCCCTTTTACTCGTAAGATAACTACTGTTGGTTGTTAATGTAACTCAAGTAGGGAAATTTCTCTAGAACTCCTGTTTTTAGGGTCACCATAAATTTACCTCAGCTAAAAAAAATGGCTTTGAATTAATCATTAGTTTTTCGTCTGCTAAATAATTGGTGTTTTTGTCTAACAGGATAACAATGAGGACAAACGACATTATTTTATGTTAGGGAACATAATGATTGCATCAGAACACAGCGAGTTTGTGAAGACGAAACGGTGGCTACCATTTTCAATTTTAGAACAATTAGAGCATGAATTTGATAATTTAGCTCATTAATACCTATAATTATGTACAATGAACATAACCAGTCAACATATAACAACAGATTTCAAAGAAAATATCGTAATGAAGAAAAATTTTTTTTTTATTTTGTAATCTCTCTATCAAGCATTAACGCTAGGAGTTTGCTCCCTTTAACTGTTCTTCCTACTGGAGGAAATTCTTGTTGTCCATGTTATAGTTTCCGGTAAAAAATGTAAGTAGAAACTTTAAAAATGATTTAACCCATTGTAAAAAAATCTATCCACGGGGGAAAAGAATTCAGAGAGGAAGTCGTGTGTTTCAGGTCGGAGGACGGTGCCGGCAAGTAAAAAAGCGTCCAGTCGTTCGCATTGGACAATAAAACCTATCTCTGCTGTAGACTGTTCATTTGGTCATTTTCCTTTTTTTTTGTAGGCCCTACTGTTCAAAAGCTCTAATATCAAAGATTCTTATTCCTAGCTTGATTGAAAATAACCGAAAATCACCAATTGAATTACGCGTACAGTGGCGTAACCTATATTCGTGCATATAAGGATTCAATACTGAATTTCGTCAAAATTAAAAAAAACCCACATTTTTCTTATGTCTTAGAATTGAAGTTTCCTTAGATATTTTGCAAATTAATTTAGATTGGTTTGTTCCGATTTTCTTTGTGAATCCCTCACCTGACCCATATTTCATGAGTAACCAACTCAACAACAGCTGAAAAATGTGTTACCTATTTTTGTGTACAATGTTTGATCCATAAATAAGTAGAGAAAAACACGATGCATGGATACCTGGTGGTATAATTACCTTCTCTTAACATTTATTTTTTATAATATTTCATGATCCCTCTTTCTAGACAAAATCTTGATAAAACTAATCTAAGATGATGACGAAATAACGGTAACTCATTGTTTTTCGGTCATCTAAGCTGCTTCAGTAAATATTGTACAGTAGTTGAACATATATCCGTGCATATAAGGATTCATTACCAAATTTCATCAAAATTAAAAAAACAGCAATTTTTTTTATTTTTTACATGATTCTACAGATATTCAATATAATAATTAAAATTGATAAACTAGCAGATTCCATGTCAGCAGAAAATTTCTATGGAACACAATGTAGGCCATATTCTTATGTTGAATTCTTGCAATGAATTTTAGTAATAAATTACTCTTACGTTTTACTTTTGTAATTTTGACAGTCACTATTTTTTTTTCAAATCATTCAGAATTGTCATTAGTTATAATGAATTGATATTAAAGATAAATACTAAGAAATGATTACTATACTACTGAGTATCCATACAATGTGTTTCTCTCTACTTATTTTTGATCAAACATGATATGTATACATGATAAAGGCTACAATTTTTATCTGGTCTTGATGAAACTTAGTATGCATGTATATATTGATGAGATCTTGGTCAAGTTCAAAATTGGTAATAATCAGATGAATGGTTTCAGAGTTTTGCCCTTGATTTAGTAAAAACACGTTGAATTTGGCTTGTATGCATGATAAAGGCTACAACTTTTATCCGATCTTGATGAAACTTAGTATGCATGTATATATTGATGAGATTTTAGTCAGGTTTGAAATTGGTAATAATTGGTTGAATGGTTTAAGAGTTCTTGCCCTTGACTTTGTAAGAAATGCTTCAAATTTGGTTTGTAGGCACTTGTGGACACTACAGTCGATGAGATCTTGTTCTATTTGATAATAATTTAATGAACTGTTTTTTAGGTTTTGCCTTGGCCCTTGAATTAGAAATATTTTTAAGATTGTTTAAAAATTCATTGAACGCATCTGCAAGATAATAGTTTTCACAATGTAAAATGAGTAGTTGTTTGTAAACTAACACCTTTAGTCATGTCTATAATGAATCACTCAAGTGTCTGAGATAGTTATACTAGTTAAAGAGACAGCCTGACAAAAATGGAGAAAAAAGACAAAAATATAGTTTTTTTATGACAAGAATCTCTATTATTCTTTATCATATGCATCCTAAACTGTTAAATATTTCTACCATGTTAGTAGGTAAATCTCGTATAATAGTTATGTTATTTATGAGTATAGAAAAACTCCTCTTTTATGAAAAAGCCTATTTTGATTGGTGAACCACGTTTCTATCTGATCATTTTTTAAAAATTAGGGGTGTTTTTACCAACACATATGAATTCTTTTTTACTTTTTTATATTTTACTTTATATTATACAGTGAACTGTTTTATTTTGCATATAACTGCCTATACATAGTATCTGTAAGTCAATATCTGCTGGCATCTGTTAATTAATGTATTATGTTCGTGTTTTAAATGTACTAGATGATGTAGACTGAAATAAAATAAATTATTATTATATTGTTAAGTAAATGCTTGGTGGATTAAGGCTTGGGAAAGTAGCTTTAATGGCCTCTTACATCTTTCCCCCATGAAAATAAATATACCTCTAAAATACTGAACCTAGTTATCTTAGAAGCTACCTTAGGCAATATCTATTCAGTATGGCTATCATTGTTTAGAGCAAGAAAGTTTTTAACTATCTTTTGATTCTTTGATGATTAAATAAACTACCAACCAAACCTGAATTTCATTAGGCATACATCATGTTGTACATTGTTTCTGTAGGATGTTATTTCAACCATTGTCTGATTGTATTAATCTATTCAGTTAACATACTATCTGACCTGTTTTCAAGTTTCCAGCATACATCCGTTAAACTGTTTCTGAATGTAAAGGAGTAGTTTTATAAGAGTTATGTTCAAACACTCCATGACTACTATTTTCAATTAAAATTGATTGACCAGTATAGATTTAACTGGTTGATTGATTTATTACACAATTCTGATCTGTTGTCAATTTTATTTCATGTCAAGTAAGTGAATGATCTGTGAAAATTGACAATGTGAATTGAGAATCGTGGAAGGTTAAATGTAGTAACTGGTCAGGCAGAGATTTGACAAAGACCTTGACTTTATTCTTTAAAATTCTATAATTGATTTTAGGACATAATGTTTTTAAAGATTTTTCAATTGGAGATCAATCCATAGTCATAGCTTGAATTTTTTATGGAATAGCTTTATCATGTGTTCATTTTGAGTAAATGATTGCTAGATTCTTTCATTAGGATCTAGGACAACTTTGGTCATTAAAGGGGGCAGAGGCAGTTTTTGTTGATTTAGAAATCATGCTGTTTGGGAGTTTTATTTTAATTTAATAAAACAAAGCAGAAGTGAGGCTGTCTCTTTAATGATTATAATTTGATTGGTGTTTAGTCAGAAATAATTAGTTGTTGGATAATGTAGACTGAAGTTGTAATCTTACTTGATATATCTTTATCTACCAATGATTAACTTATACCAAAGTTTACAAATTAAACTGTTGATGTCATGTCTAAATCACTTATTGTTAAACTCTTTTAGTTTTAAACTTTTAGTGTCATTTAATTCCTAATCAGATTTTTGGTGATTTTAAGTTATTTCTTCAAATATGTATTCATCTGCACTTAATGTTCAAAAGCTTGACATTTATTCAAAACTTTAAGTTAGAATTGTGATATTAGATCACTGTTTCTTAAAAGGATTGGCTTATTAAAGATAGATAGAACAGGAGTAATATATTATATGAACCAAGTCTATTGTATTGTGAACTTTGCACTGTTTTAAGAAGAACAACAAATGATATAACCAGTGATTACAACTTGATTTAAATTTGAATTTTAAAGATGTGTGGTGAAGTCAAGTCGTTCAATCTCTTTAAACAAGTGTTTAAAAATGTTTAAAATTTGACAGAAATCATTTGACACCTTGGTGAGAATTGGGTCAATATTTGTACATGGTATTGCATTCAAATATTGTAGTTCACCACACCTGTAGAGTGGAAGACATTATTTAGTCAAAGATCATTTACTGTAGTAAGTTTCAATGGCTAACAATCAGATATATACTGGTGTTTTTAATGGATATAATATTGAAATAAGGAGGTTTGTTTTTAATTTATTATTTTTCAAATATTTGAGATAATGTTTCTGTATATCTTGAAGTTTTTTGTTGGTTTATTAAGTATTTATTCAGTAATTCAAATTTTATTGTGTTGTGTGAATATTATGTTTGGTTTTAAAATGGCTTTGCATCTATTAAAAACAGCTAAAATATCTTAGAAGGGGTAAAATTTAAATTGAATTTCACATACTTGTGGTATTTTGAAATATTTTAGTCCGTGAGTGATATTTTTATTGATATTTTGTCTGACATTAACTGTAAAATAATTAAACAGAAATATTTATTACTGTTATTTGATAACTTATATTATATATTTTATTACATCTATATTGTGATTTTTAGTATAGAAAAAATAGAAAACAACAAAAGAGCAACACATTAAACTATTTTGCTTGATACAGAAGAGCACCATTAATTGATATGTGTCTTGACATATTTTTGAGACTCATTGAATGAGGTGCTTTTATCTGTTCTTGTGGTTGATCATGTATTTATAAACCTACAAAAGAGATTCAGTATACAATCTTCAGTGGTCAATCCCAAGTAGGGATTAATATTTTGTATTGGTTTTATTCAAATTTTAAATTGAAGTTCCCTTTTTGTCAAAATTCATACCAAATATATTTCATTGGAATTTCGTACAATACAGAAGAGGCCCATTTCTAATGCTGTACTTTGATTATCAAATGTTACATATATTCATGAGACCAGTAAGATGTCAAACAGAGGGTCATACTTATTGTGATTTTTAAATTTTACTGTTATTAAACTTCATTAGCTGTATAATAAAGATATATAGCCTATTTTGATGTCAATTTAACATTATCTACTGTACATTATTACAAATATTGCCCTTCTTATCAAGTAATATCCATATTAAACCTCTCCTCTGTTATCAATCAAATTGATGTAATAAATAGATATCTTATCAAAGTGTATATTGTACATGTATTTGTTTTAAAGTGGTAGTTCCAAAGAGTTAAGCAAAAATGCGTTTTTCCCAGAAATAGATTATCTTCAATCAAAGTTTTATCTTTCTACAAATTCCTAAAGATGTTCGACTTGAAAAAGATAAATGAAGTTATATTTTATGTATTGGTTGGAATGAAATGAGTCTTTAATTTGCTTAAACTTGGCAAGGGTTGTCTGTTTGCCTATGATATTTTATTTCTAGATAATGATTTATAGTTTGAAATTCAGCATACATTTGGTTAGATTGTAGGTTATAAAAGACTGGATCTGCAAAGGAATGATTTCCCTTGATCAGTCTGAAGAATAACAACATTTTAATATGTCATACTTTAAGAATAACTTATGTGCATATTTAGGAACTCATATTGCCAAAACAACACATGATCATTATTCAACTACAAAAACTCTGGTACATAGCATATCATTATAAAATACTGGATGATGTAACTTATCATTTATACCAATCTATATTGATTAATTAAGCCTCTTATCAGGTCTTATTTTAAACTCTTTGATGCATATAAATCAGATGGATTGTTCTTAAGAATTTTACTGATTTCAACTGTTAGACTCATGGTTGGATTTCGGGGAAGGGAGGGTTTGATTCTCCCAAATGTACAGGCCTAGGGTGGAGCAGACACTTTATTTAGAAATTAGGATTAAGGGTCTTGATATTGGGTTTTCTTCTGTTCTGAGGCTGATCTGAAATTAGAAAAAATAACTCATTTGATAAATTTTTTTTATTGCAGTGCATTTAAAGACCCTGTGTATCAAACATCACCATGGTTGGAGAAAGCGGATGAAAAAGGAGAACTCTTCATTTTTGAGGTGGAAAAAAGTAAAGATTTGGATTTTGAAAGTTTTATTGACAATTGGGGAGATAACCAATCATTAAACAGTCGCTTTCCATGTTCAAATAGTGAAGATACAGGATATTCTAGCGATGCTGAGGTGCAGCCATCTTTAAAATCAGAAAAATCCCCTAAAAAGGCTTCCAAATTTTCTCAGTTTCTGAAACGGAAAGAGGTCAAATTATTTGATGAAAAGAATATTGAAGACAGTATTGATACACTATCGGGATGTGACTGTGTAGAATGTCGTGTGGATACCATGACAACCAGTGTTAAAGATGTTTTATTAATCGTAGATCCAGAATCAAAGCGTTCTACAAGTGTTCAGAGATGTGTGAACAATAACACAAGTTTGTGCGAACACATTCTTGGTATAATACCAGGTTGTCAAGGGCAACAGTTAGGATATAATGGTGTACAGGAACCGGTTTATGTTAAAGGTCTGTCACCAGATGGTCCAGCCATTAAAGTTAAAGATATTCAAATAGGTAATGATACTGCCTTATATCAGAAGCCTTTGTAGCATAATTAGGTGCAGGTGTAAAAGCACAATACCATAGTGGTGAAAATATGTCATAACGCAAAAAATTGTAGTTTTCATGGCTGTGATATCCAAAACTCATGGAACCATGATGGCGATGAGCCCTGCACCCAGGCCATTTGTCTTGTCACATGATAAACCAGTGTTTATTTTCCGATAACGATATTAACAAGATCCACATTCATTCTTTAAATATTGAATACCTTTTAGGACACTTTGACTTGATTATATTAAAAAGTCACTTAGTTCAAACCTCTTGATTTTGTTAAGTAAATATACTTTATTTGCTTAGTCAAATACATTATATTTGTTTCTTTGTAAAAAAAAATTGAATCAATATGAAATGTACATGAGTTGATTTTTAAACTGATTTTTAATTAATGTAGTACAACAGTACCTAAAATAGAGTGAAAGATTGAAAATTTCAGAGAAAATTGGCACACATTTCTCTCATATGAAATGTTGAAAATTAGCCATGTAGAAGAAACCTAAGAATGAAGGAATCCATTCATTCATTCATTCATTCGATTCCATTCATTCATTCATTCGATTCCATTCAGTCGATTCCATTCATTTGATTTCATTCATTCGATTCCATTCATCCATTCATTCTTCTACAGGTGATTGGTTAAAGAGTATAAATGGACATGAAGTAACAAGGACCAATATAGATGTATTATTATCTTCAATTTCTTCTACCTCAAAGGTACACAAACTTTATTTCTTCAATTGATGTTCAATCATCAATCCTGTCTCTGATTAACCAGCTGATCAATTTGGCAGGCATAAAATGAATCTCTGCAACTAACTGTGCATGTCAAAAATTCTAAGACATTGAAACTCAGAGTATGGGTTATATCTCTTTCCATTGTTTGTACAATCAGTCATTGGCACCATTCGCTGAATATGATATGATGTATTACCACATGCTGCTTCTGAATCCTGAATCAAATTATGTTCTTATAGACGAACGTGAGAGTTATGATTTTCTCCCAATTGACCAGTCTTGTTGGTTTGTTATACAGGTACGATTATTACTACAGTCAATGCCATCTGGTCAGCATTCATTACAGCAGAAACAAGGTGCTGAAACTGACCAATTGATTAATGTTATTTCCGGTGACCATAGCAACCATTCACTGAATCAATCATCATTCGTCTTATATACCTCTTTAGAAAACATCCAATCAGAAAACAGCTCTGATAAGGTGAGATATATTTCAGAACTTTGATAACAATTCTGTAACAAAATGAATTTCTCCTAAATATTGTAGATTTTGTGGTGAAATTAAAATGAAAGTAAATAAACAGTTCATAATGTATATTGACACATGTATAGTATATATTAGTTTAAGGTGGAGTAAGACATCTAATATATATGTGTATTTATATTGGATTACTACAGAGCTATAGAGAATAAATTGTCATTTAACTTTAATTGTTATCAATATATACAAATGCACATCTGTGTTTATCTTGTAAATTGAACAAAAAATGTCTATATACATTGCATGATATATTGCTCTATTTATCAAACTTGTTGAATGAAAAAGACTTTCAATTCTGATCCTGTTTGGTCCTGTACAATTCATGATAGCTAGTTTTGAGTTAGAAATTGGTATGAATTTATTTGACTATTCAAAAATGCAAAATAGTCTTGAAATTCATAGCTTCCAAAGTACATTGTCCCAAGCACCACAAAACTGAAAAATATTATGAAGTCTATTTTTTCCCCCCATAGTACCATTTCATACACCACTGATATATGTACCCATTAAAATATTTAAAAAAATTCAGCAACTGAAATCTTTATATTCTGTTATAGGATGATATAGTCTATCAATATCCAGTGTCAGAAGGTTTATTATTAGCCATGAGAGGAATGTTCTACACTGTATGTCATACTATTAAAGATTTCACCAATACTAGTGTACAGAAGTAAGTACTGTGTCTTTACTAATAGCCTCATAGAGAGATAACATCATGCAGTGTGTAATAAGGGAACTTTTGTCAGGACACCATCAAGATTTTTATTTTCATTATTTTTTTCATAATTGTTGAATAAGTATGAGCAATCTTCATCAGGAAAAATTCTGTTCAATTAAGGGATATTGGAAATTTAGAATTCTTGTTAAGGTATAATTATGTATATGTTAAAAATATATATTATATTTTCAGTACTTCAGTTCTGATACAAGATGAAGTCTATAATATATGTTGTCATTCTGAAGGAAAAGATCTTCTTATATTTGCTGTCTCAGAAAAAAGGTAAATTTGGACTGAATCTTGAAGCGTTATAGAACTTTTCTACTGTTTCACGGCAAACTGTCTGCAATTACATATCAAGTTTTTGTCCAAGAAACACTGTTGGAAATAGTTAAGCCATCATGTATCAAAGAAACATAAGCAGAAATGGAGTGATTTTAGCACATCATATACTAGCTCAAAGGGAGTAAAACCCCATAAAAATCTAGTTTTGACAGATATGGCAATCACACGAAATGCAAGATAATTTATCAGGATTCTTTTTTTATTGTATGAAACAATAGAAGATCATTACAAATTCTTATGGTTTTTTTTCTTCAGAATATCAAAATATCTATTAAATATATTAAAAGAAGATATAGTGAGATTATTACAAGTATTATACGGTTCTATAGAAAGTGCTTTTAAAACAGTATCCAATCATCAACAGTTAAATAGTATATTTGGTATTACTATAAAGTGTGGTATAGACAATATATATACTGATTTAACTAGTCCTACTCCGGCATCGTGTTCTATAAATAGATTATTAACTCACACCAATCATGTGCAATATCTTCCACTACCTCCAGACGTCTTGGTAAGTTCATCATTTATGGTCTCCTCAATCTGCATTTATGAACTTCTAAATGTTCCTATCTTTTAATCAGAACATCATTTTCTGGAACATGATAATTGGAAATTCTCAGTACAATATAATGCATTGAACACATCAGGTATTTAGCCAAATTTTGTTTAGAATACATGCCTTTTTAGGGAATTTATTATACTCATTTTCAAAATATTTATAGAGAAACTCAATAATATTTGTATTGTTTACACCTTTTATTCTGTTTTTTCCAGCTCAATATAAATGGTATTCTCAGTGATTTTGAATCAGGTGATTTTGTTGAAATGGTAAGTTAATGTCTTACTATCAATACATAGAGCATACTGATTAACAAATAAAAATGAATCATGTATTTTTGTCCAATGGTAGAGAATATGATACATGTATGTGGTTTGTTATAGCAAATATGGCTTTTCCTACCTATTTAAAACTACTGCTGACGCTATAATTGTTAAGTGTATCATCTAATTTTTTTACTATAATATTTGTATATTTGCAGTCTGATAGTTATTATGGTTTAAGAAGATCATATACTATATTAGGTTCCTGTCTGTTTTATAAGGTAAATTTTTAACTTGCTTGTATTAATATTATTCTAGGCATGTAAAGGGAACAGTACATTATATCCGCAATTATACAGTATATACTATATAGTATGCCAATTGTCATGTGATGTTCAGCTCACATTTATATAATATAATTTAGTTTAGTTCTTAAAATTAAATAAGTACTGCTATGAAAAAAAAAAAAATAATATTTTAACTGATAATGTAGTTGGATGTTTTCTTGTCTAGCCATCTTTCTAGTAAAGTACTGGAAATCTGTAATGCGTAAAATTTATCAGTTTTGATTCAGATGATTTTAAGTAAACCCATTTAAATCCTTTTAACATAGCTTTTAAACTAAATGTTATCCCCATTTTCATCGATAATTGCTAGTGATTTTTCAAATCACCCAAGATTTGTTTCAATGATATGGCTAGATATATAGCGAGGAAAATTGAATTATTTTTTATATTCCTAACATCTTTCATGCTCAATCGATTCTATTTAAGATGTGTTGGCAATGGTATGATTAGCTGATATTTTTCAAATAGCTTCATAATTCAGACATATGTCTTACATATTTCTTGTTTATCCCTATTGGAATGTTTGTGCACAAAAATTTCTTTAATGGTGAATTTTTCAGTAAACAATATTGTAGGCGATGTTTTGCACAATATGTTATTTGAATGTATTGGATTGGTTGAGTTTAACAATAACATACTGGACCAATTGAATAATGAGAATGGCCTACTGGTTCAAAAAATAGATTTCAACTCAAAATGTTGAATAAATATACAATAAAAAATCAACTATATGCTATTTTTTGCAGGATTATCTGTTATGTAACCATTTAAATAAAGAACACCTAACTGATATTAGTTTATATCTACAATACCATGGATTACTGCCCTTGACTAGTAAATGTGCCTTGAATCAGTTAGTTATATGGAGAGAAGTGTATCCCTCCCAGTTCTGTTGTGATGTATCTGGTATTAATAATGTATTTGGTTATTCTGAACCTGATGCTCGATGGTTTCTACTTGTTGTAGGACTGGTAAGTTTTAAACTGTTTATTACTGTATATAAGTGTTAAAATGGCTCCGGGAGTAAATAGGTTACATGTTTGCTCACCTAGAAGACATTATTTGACATACATTAATTTTACATTTCCTGACTAGTTTTCTCTTGTCATAGCCTTTCAAAGGATGTATAAACACATATTCATATCAAATTATTAATTCAATTAAAAGTGCAAGATCCTATGAAAAAATGAAAAAGAATGTTACACTTAGTAGGATATAAAAGAACATTTGATTTATTGAGACAAAGTTGTTTTTTTTAATTATAACTGTATAAATATACTAAAAATGATCATTGTGAGTCCAATTGTAAATCCTGTTTATTTACAGAAATACAGTATTTATGCAGTATTATTAGAGGCTGGAGGTTGCGCTATCAGACGGAATAGAGTTACTGTTCCTGATCCATTCTATATAGATCAAGCAAAAGCCACATTATTACAGACGTTAACATCCAGTTATACCACTGTATATGAGGCTAGGTATGTAGTTTTTTTGTATATTCTTGGTCAGAGTTTTGTATTTCTGAATTTATTTCATATTCATGTAAGATTAATGTGTTCTGCATCTGTAAACTACAAAAAGAAAATCTAAATAATTTAGCCTGGAATGGGTTATTTTATTGCCTTCGATGGAAGAATTAACTTAATAACATGCTATGATATCGTTCTGACTTAGCTATTTAGAATGATATGATTGTTTTTTCCATACTTGTAGATTTAATGGCAGTGGTCTACCTCTAACTAAAAGTGTTGATAGTTTAAATATGAAATCTCATCATTCAATATCAGATCTTTCTTCATCATTCTCAAAATTAGGTAAGCATTTAAAACCTTTTCTTTGTATAAGTGGCAGTCAAAGAAAGAAAGAAAAAAACAAACAAACAAGCAAATGGTAAAATAACTATATAGATTCTTGAGAATGTTGGATCTTGGCCAAAGTTCAAGATCAATATTATCTGCATTCAATTACAATTTGGTTGAATGGAATACTGAGGAAATTTGATTTAAGGTGCCAATGGTCGAAATTTTGTAAAATCAAATGCCTCTCTGCTGAAAGTAAATACTCTGCTTATATTGATGATAATAAATATGTGTTTCAGGGCAGAAAAGATTTGATAGTGAAAATGAGTTGAGATCAGCTAGAATAATTTCTTCACCACGTCATGATCTGTTACAACGCAAAACCTCGGTAGATTCTGATGCTTCTAGTGGCAGTAGTAATGATAGTTTATTTAAGGTATACAGCTTTAATATAATGTTGATAAACAGTGGGCTAATTGTGATAAATCAATATAGGATGGTAAACAGATTTGATAGATATGCATCTTTTTCGCACAAAGCACACAGGTCATTGACCATCTTGAATTTAGATGACTTTTGAGCCTTCATATGGAATTACTAGAATTTATATTGAATCCCTGATATTTTTCTTCACAACCTATGTTTAGTGCATTTAGCTTTTTTTATCTTCAATAACAATACCATTTTATTATATTGTAGAGTTCTAGAACAAGTCGATTATTTGCTGACCTCCACAGTCCTATAGTTAATACCACTAGTAATAAGTGGTTTGAAGATTTTGGTTTAAAGTAAGTTTTTTTTTTTTTCAATCACAGTTAATATTTGAGGAATGAAGAATAAGAAAATTGACAATAATATACTATTCTGTCTAATGTTATTAGTGTTTTTGATTAGTCATAATGAAAATACCAATATAATGCTTATATTATGAATGGGGGCATTACAAAAAGGATGTCTGGTATCATATAGTGACAATAAGTGGCTTACTACTCTTAAAATATTTTTGAACTTAAATCTTTGTTATTTTCAGACTATCAAGAGGGGTAGATAACTCTCTACTATATTTCTGTCAGTTTGATACTATAGAAGGTATTTATATTAGTGCTAAAGATAAACCAGACATACCAGCTCTTCAATCTCAAATCATCTCTAATTTCTACAAATCCTGCTTTCATATTAAACAAATGTTTCAAGAATCTCGAGATTTGAAGGTAAGAAATATTGTCATTTGAAATGTCATTTGTCAGTAAAAGTGCTATCATTAAAGAAGTTGAATTAACTTGTGCAAATATTAATAATAAGTTAGTAGTTATAGAATAATGAATTTTCAGAATAATAAAAATTTGAACAAGTGGAAGTTCAATGGGATAAATGGAGACAATATTTTTAACATAAAGATAGGATTCCCCATACAGTACCAGTTTACAAATATTAGATAATTGAAATGTTTTATGATTTTTCAAGATAATAGCAGGTACTATGATATTACGACGTATGTTTTATTTTTATTGATTTATGTCTCATTACAGAAATTAGTGACAAGTGAACGTGAAGTGTTATTTTTTCCTGAAGATAATTTAGTTGATGTAAAAGAACATGGTGTTTTATTTCATCTCTCATCTCTTTCTTCACCAGACGGGAAAAAATCAAAACAACAACAACTAACATATTGGGTTGTCGGGTAAGTTGTATTTCTTCATTGTAGTCTCAGTAAGTGTGGCTTGTAGAAACTATAGTTTCTTGTAAATGGATTGACAATACAAATAGGCCTGTATATGTTTTGAAATAAGTCTGAATAAAAATTATATAACTTGACTGAAATATCTTTTTATTTTCAGGCGTAAATTAACAAGAGGTGCCAGAAGAGAAATCTATGTGTGTTTTTTAGACTCAACTCCCCAAAATGTGATAGAGACAGCCTTTAAATTGGGGTTTAGTCAGACCTGTCCAGGATAGCCTTCGATATCCAGAATCAATTTCATCCCAGTGATTCCCTTATGTTCGAAAAAGAAGTATTTAGTCAAGGAAAGTTCATATTCAAGCTTCATATTTCATTGTGACACATTTAGAATTATAAAGCCATTAGTTTAAATTTAATGTAATGACAAAATTGTGAATTGATATTAAATCATAATTCATTTCGAATTGATATTAAATCATAATTCATTTCGAATTGATATTAAATCATAATTCATTTCGAATTGATATTAAATCATAATTCATTTCGAATTGATATTAAATCATAATTCATTTCGAATTGATATTAAATCATAATTCATTTCGAATTGATATTAAATCATAATTCATTTGAATTGATATTAAATCATAATTCATTTGAATTGATATTAAATCATAATTCATTTCGAATTGATATTAAATCATAATTCATTTCGAATTCATAATTCATTTCGAATTGATATTAAATCCAAAATTCATGATACTCTGTTATTAAATCTTAAATTCATGATGATTTGTATAGAATCAAAATGTGATTTGATATTCATTAAATTCATTCCTTCAATTTACATACATAGACCCATAATTCATTGTCACTTATTTGTGTTTTAAATCATGGTGAATAATTACATAAAGTCATCATGATGATCTGCTTTGAATTTTGATTCATTTGGTCCACTGATCTGTTTTCAAATCAATATTAATTTTTACCTCAATTTACTAGAATCATTACTCATCTAGACCTCAATTATTGATATTATTCATGATTCATGATTTGATGTTACATTGTTAAGCAAGAGAATCCTTCACCATCCTGTCAACACAGTCATAATCCATCGTGTTTGAATCATCCATAATCAATGCCATTATTCCTGCTGTGGTGTCAAAATGGATTCTGAATTCTGTCTACACTTACTATTTTTTCGGCACTCATGTAACATGTTCTGAACTCTGTTTCAACTTGTTTTATCTAAGATCCGATTGATTCAATAAATCCTGAACGTGCAGAACTTACTAACAGAGCAGCCTCTGTATGTACCTTCTATACCAAACCTTCATTATTACAACTAATTTCACAAGACTAAAATTATCATACACCTGTGTATATTAGTAGAACAAGTATAAGTATTCTTTGATATTTGTTATCAAATTCACATCATTTTACTAAATGGTATGTGTTCAAGTTGATATTGTTATTGTTATTATTGTATATTATCATTTTTTGTTTGTTATTAAATTTTGTTAATGATGATTATTTTCATTACCTTCAATACTGAGTTCTAGAATTTCAACATAAATGCCATTTTACAATCACAATAACTTAGGTTCACAATGAAGGGTCATTTCTACCAGCTGATCCTTGACCAAGACTCTTGGCATTTATCTTTCCTGGATTATCCGTACCCTTTTACAGCTAGGTCAACTGGAATTAGGAGTGAAGATGACTTATTCAAGTTCATCGAACTTCACACGCTTATCTACATCGGAAACCACAGGCACTATTTGTTCGATATGATAACTTGAACTCTGCCTTACATTGGCTCGTAAGATCATAGGGGAGATAACTGACTTTACAATATAAACTACTATTAAATATTTCAAAAATTTCTGTCTTTTCTTTGGTAAAAGAAATGCGTACTCATCATGCCAAGAACTTGATGGAGCAAGAACTCATGTTATAGACAACATAAAGCTATAAATACAGCATTCAAATAACATTAATAATATAAATTTATTACGTTGTGTGGTATAAAATATACAAAAATATACAATTCTTAATAGAATAATATACAAAACAAAAAATTAAATAGTATAGGCAATAAGGCACTGAACATGATGAAGACTAGGTTTATAGTTGAGGTTTCTAATTAAGACTAGTGTTTGAACAAAAGGATTATATATTACTGACATGTACAACTGAGGTGTTTCACTTTAATCTTCTCAGCCAAATATTTCTACATGTAATTAAAGAATTTGAATATTGTTTAAATCAAGACCTCCCTTTTCTTATTAAATAAACAAAAGTATATAGACCAGAATTTTGTGGTTGTTAAACATTGGTTGAGACCTTGTTTGGTGGAAACATTTTTTCTATTCGTTGAGATCTTGTTGGTTGGTGAAACTTATTTTCCATTGGTTGAGAATTTTAGTAATTGGTGAAAAAGGCTATTGGTTGGTAAATGATTTAAAACTTCAACTAATCTTAAAGTTTATTGGTTGAGAAATTTGTGGTTGGTTAAAACTTTAAATCTATTGGTCAACAGTTTGTTAGTTTGTGAAAACTTATATTCTATTGGTTGAGAATTTGTTGGTAGGTAAATGATTTAAAACTCCTACTAATCTTGATGAATGGAATGAAGGCAAGGCAATGATATCATTAGGGCTTCGTATTTCTAACCTTGGCACTATGTTATTGTCGAAATCATCAGGATTAATAGGTGGTGAAATATATGGTTTATTCTGGTATTTATCACGAGCCAGTTGTTTTAGTTTATCAATATTAGATATAGCTAGATCATTGACTAGTTTATAAAACTGACTGTTTTTATTCTGTAGTAATAAATGTGGAGTATCTACTTCTTGTATTCTACCATCAGATACCATCTACAAAGAAAAAATAATGTGTTAATAATCAATAAGTGCATTATGTGAAGTTTTTATGCAGGAAATCCCTGTGCTGCCTGTGCATAAAGATACATTAGCTATACTAGTTATTCATATAAAGGCAAACTAGCTGATAAATGCAGGCAACTCAACAGTTATTCATATTCTTTTAAAACTGACACTAATGATAAAGCCTGCCACAAGACGAACTAGCTGAGCTTCATGCCTCAAGAGGCTGTCAACTGAGCAATAATCTTACTACTTTTTTCAGCGGAGACGAGAGCACTGAGCTATTGTCTCACTAGAAACCTTCGGCCAATTCTGTACGTCAACGAAAACAACCAAAGAAGGTTTGGATCAAAATGGCCTCATTTCCCTGTTTTGGAATTCCACAGAATAAACAGCGTATAGACACGGATAGTCTTGCCATGTTCAGAAAGTTGATTTTCTAAAATTGCTTCATTCACGGTTACCATAATGATACCACATGAGCCGTTAATGCCTCTTAATGCAGGCAGCTCAGCTAGTTCCTCTCGTCCGCAGCAGGTTTAATGTTGAAGAAGCTGGACATTTTGGAATCCATTTATAAAATCTCATCAGTTTTTGCACTGAAAAGGCTAGAAATCACACAAAATTTACTTTAGTTTAGCAAAGTGTCAACACTTATCAAAATGCATCCCAAATTCCAAAATGTGACAACCAAAAAAATAAACAAACCATAAACAAAATAATATAAATGTATTACCATAACTCTATCATAGTCTACAACAGTATCTGGTAAATGAGACATATGTATCACTGTACTTTTACGAAATTTTCTTTTTAATGTGGACAATATTATACCATTACATCTAAAACAGAATATATATAAATTGTATAGTTTCTTGATTATTTTCTTACACCCTCTAGGTTGGCTTGCAACAATTACATGATTAATTGATTTGATATGTGATTATGAGATATGGATTGGATAGCTTGATTTTTATGCTTCAGATGGTTTGAGTGTTTTATACAAGTGATTGGACATCTAGTTAATTTTCAAATGCTGGCCTTGACACTCAAATCTAGGATCAACAATTAGATAAACAAAACAAAAACCTACCTGGTATCTAATCTGGATGATGGTTCTTCATATATAATAATTTTATTTTGTCGTAACATAGCTCTAGCTAGGCGTATTAATTGCCTATGACCAACAGTAAATAAATCAACAAATGATGTGATATCTGTATATAGTCTCTGGGGTAAAGATTCTACAAATGATGATAGATTCACCTACAACATAGAGACAATATACAATATAAATCTTACACCTGATTATGATTCATTTTGATCTATTCCCTATCAGCCTTTTCTATCTAAAGAGCTGATGATACCATCTAAACTGCTGATGAGAAAAAAACAATTTTCCATTTCAATTGCTAATACCAGTAATACAGAAACAATTTTCTGGTAGACAAGGGCTGTATACCAACCCTAGAGCTATAAATATTACTTTAAACACATACCTCTTCTAGAACTCTCCACACTTGAGCATCAGTATATCTTGATATAGGATCAATATTCTGTCTGATTGTTCCTAGAAATAATGTGGGATTCTGAAAAAAACAAAGCAACAGATCTTCATAGCTTAGTGTTAGTATTTATATCATAATTATTTGTTAAAGTTAAAACTACATCTAGGTGACTAGTATTATTAATATTTGGGGTTCAAGTCATTCAAATATAATTTTGACATTTAGCAACATGAAGTTAAACATCTAAATCAATTTAGGTTATCTATAAGATAATATGTCCTGGTATTCAACACCTTGTTAATTATATGAAGACAAGCGATTTGAGGCAATGTATATCAGAGGTTCTGAAATAACTCATATCCACATTTGAAAATTTCACCTGATAAGGTACCATGGACGCAAAAGTTATTTTCTGACCTGTGGTATTACAGCTATTTTATCTCTTAATCGAGGTAAACTAATATTCTGTATATCTATACCATCAATTCTAACTACACCAAGATAATCTATCATACGATATAATATACATATAAACGCTCTCTGTTCAGCAGCAGATTTAAACAACATACCCATCTATAATATATATATATAACATACATTTCCATATGATCCTGTTTCATTTCAAAGAGAAATTTTTCACATTCATTTCAACCACATGTAATTTCTACATTGTCGTCAAAATCATTTCCAGAAGTCAATCAGAAAATGGGAGAACTCCTTTGTTCAGAGCTTTTGAATATCTTAACTTTCAAATAAATGTCTACATTTTCTGGAAACAAAAAAAATGGCTGTATCATGACTTTAAAAGGAAATATTTTTCATTTTCATTGCATAACATTGGAACTGATAATTCAGATGTCTAATTAGTCTGTGAGTTTATAAAAATTTTTTTTTCACTTATTGACTGGAACTAACACATATCTTTGCTAATTTTCAATATTCAGTATAGAAATATCCCAACCTTTTCTTCTGCTCTAATACAACACCAAACACTTTTTAACACATTAGGACCTTTAGATGTCTGTGTTAAAGTAACACCCTCTAATGTTAAAATACCATATTGTGGCCAGTTAATGCTGGGTTTAACATCAGTTTCTGATAAATCTAATTCTGGTGTTATCTGATAACATTGAAACAATCTTTCTACAGAACTCATCTTCAATAACAACAAAATATAGAATGATTAAATTAATAGAGTCAACTAATTATTTGGCATTATCTTATGGTTCTCATTCGATTAAATAAAAAGGTTCTGCAACAATTTAGACATTCATCACTACTAGGGCATTATTAACTGCTCGGCATGCAATTATCACTCATGACATCATTAAATTTGTAACCCCTTAAACAGATTGCAATCTGAATTGGTGCTGTACACTTTAATTTAATTATGATGACCTTTTATTTATTGTCTTTGAATGGCATTTAGCAATTGTGAGTATGATATATAGACACAGCTTTATGGAACAACAATCACTGGTTAAAGTTTTATGCAACGTCATAAAACTTTAACCAGTGATTGTTGTTCCGTAAAGCTGTGTCTATATAACTTTTACATATTGTCTCAACTAATTTTGGCTATATACATGCATTAACATAGGTATATGAAGTCTATTTTATTATGCTCAAGAAATGTACCTACTTTAAAATGGACAGCAGCTGACTTCCTCAAAGCTGGTTGTTGTACATTGAGCAAATTAACAGCATAAAACAATGACAGACCAATCATACTAGATGAGACAGGAGATCCTAAAATTAACAGAATAAAACAATGACAGACCAATCATACTGGATGAGACAGGTGAACCTTAAATCAACAGAATAAAACAATGAGAGGTCAATCATGCTGGAGGAGACAGGAGATCCTAAAATTAACAGAATAAAACAATGAGAGGTCAATCATACTGGATGAGACAGGTGAACCTTAAATTAACAGAATAAAACAATGAGAGACCAATCACACTGGATTAGAAAGGCGATCCTAAATTAACAGAATAAAACAATGAGAGATTAATCATACTGGATGAGACAGGTGATCCTAAAATTAACAGAATAAAATAATGACAGACCAATCATACTGGATGAGACAGGTGAACCTTAAATTAACAGAATATAACAATGAGAGGTCAATCATACTGGATGAGACAGGTGATCCTAAAATTAACAGAATAAAACAATGAGAGGCCAATCGTGGTGGAGGAGACAGGAGATCCGAAAATTAACAGAATAAAACAATGAGAGGCTAATCATACTGGATGAGACAGGTGATCCTAACATTAACGGAATAAAACAATGAGAGGCTAATCATACTGGATGAGACAGGTGATCCTAACATTAACAGAATAAAACAATGAGAGGTCAATCATACTGGATGAGACAGGTGATCCTTAAATTAACAGAATAAAACAATGAGAGGCTAATCATACTGGATGAGACAGGAGATCCTAACATTAACGGAATAAAACAATGAGAGGCTAATCATACTGGATGAGACAGGTGATCCTAACATTAACAGAATAAAACAATGAGAGGTCAATCATACTGGATGAGACAGGTGATCCTTAAATTAACAGAATAAAACAATGAGAGGCTAATCATACTGGATGAGACAGGAGATCCTAACATTAACAGAATAAAACAATGAGAGGTCAATCATACTGGATGAGACAGGTGATCCTTAAATTAACAGAATAAAACAATGAGAGGCCAATCACACTGGATGAGACAGGTGATCCTTAAATTAACAGAATAAAACAATGAGAGGTCAATCATACTGGATGAGACAGGTGATCCTAAAATTAACAGAATAAAACAATGAGAGGTCAATCACACTGGATGAGACAGGTGATCCTTAAATTAACAGAATAAAACAATGAGAGGTCAATCACACTGGATGAGACAGGTGATCCTAAAATTAACAGAATAAAACAATGAGAGGTCAATCATACTGGATGAGACAGGTGATCCTTAAATTAACAGAATAAAACAATGAGAGGTCAATCACACTGGATGAGACAGGTGATCCTAAAATTAACAGAATAAAACAATGAGAGACCAATCATACTGGATGAGACAGGAGATCCTAAAATTAACAGAATAAAACAATGAGAGGTCAATCATACTGGATGAGACATGTGATCCTTAAATTAACAGAATAAAACAATGAGAGATCAATCATACTGGATGAGACAGGTGATCCTTAAATTAACAGAATAAAACAATGAGAGGTCAATCATACTGGATGAGACAGGTGATCCTTAAATTAACAGAATAAAACAATGAGAGACCAATCATACTGGATGAGACAGGTGATCCTAAAATTAACAGAATAAAGAATGAGAGACCAATCATACTGGATGAGACGGATGATCCTAAAATTAACAGAATAAAACAATCATACTGGATGAGACATGTGATCCTTATATCAACGGCATAAGACAATCAGTGTCCAGAAGCTCAAATTACGCTTCAAAGCAAGGGAAAAGACGTTTATCATTTCATGCAATAGTATACAATAGTTATTATTCAAGTATTCTTCAGTATAACGAAATACTTTAACTGGGACTTTCTAACATTCTTTATATATACATGTACTTGTAAAGTATTAATGTCACTGACAATAGAACCTTGATTTTGTTTTAAGATTTATTGGAAGTGAATAAAACCTCCAAAATCTTGTGAACCTACCTTGATAATTAACAACTAATATAGAACCAATAACAACACCAACAATTAATAAAAACCCTATCATATCAACTCTCATACCAAACCATCTATTAGCTGCTAGATGTAAATAACAAGCTGCTGTACTACGATCTTGATTAACATCAAAATTATGTAGAAATCTCTGTTCTACACCAAACACTCTCAATGACTGTACACCTTCCATACTGCTTACAACATGGCTTCCTACTGCACTTTTAGCTACAAATAAATATCATATTTTAGAAAAATAATATGATTAATTTTTAAACTTTAGGCTATATCGCTATTAAACTGCACAAATTATTTTATTTTTATTACAGATAATCTTGAGAAATTATTATTTTTCAATGGTTTTTTGTAAAATTGTTGTTAACGTTTCAATAATTCCTCATAATTTTGTCAAATTTCCATAAAAGACACTAATCATTAAAGAGATACTATCTCTTAGAATGAACATGAAATTTAAAGTCTGTAACTTAGTCAATAAGAGTATATATTCATCAGTTGGACTAAAGAATAGAATCTCTATATAAGACGATTCTAAGAATATCTATGAATTATTTAGTTTAATGAATTAATACTTAGTTTTATGGATTTATTGTATTACTCATTTTGGCCAAGTAGTATACCTTTAAGAAGTCTATACATGAAACTGAATACCGGTAGTATAACAAAACTAGTATTAAAGGGAGATAACTCATATGAAATAGAAATAAGCTATTATATAATAGTCTTTAAAAAATCAATATAATAATGATCCAACTTATTTTTGTTTTATAACAAAATATAAAGAAAAACATAAATAATGATATAGAATAAAGGCTGACAATTTATAAATAATACTGTTATTTCTAAAAAATATAACATAAAATCTTGAAACCAAATACTAAAATTAAAAAACAGAGAGGGGTATATATGCTACTTGTCTCCACCAATCATATTGTGTTATTAAAAAGGAGAGCCGGTTAGCACTCCCCTTGACAAGGACGGAATGGACCTTCAAGGTCTTTATAACACATATGGCATGCCCTCCTACTTCGAGGGCACCTTATTTTTCTCAATTGATTCCAATTCAAATCTTCAGTAGACCTTCCTACCTAAATAGTGCACTCCAAATGTGTATAATGTGTCAATGTCATTCATTCAAAATTTCTGAATAAAATCTGACTTTTTTGAGCCTCTTTTTAATGCATCCAACATGTATCTTTCAAATTTCTATTTGTATAAAATTTTTAATAGATTTTCATTACATTCTGAGTTTGACTTACATGCTAGTTCAATTCTTTCTACATCTTGAGTGGAGTGAAGATAATAATGTCGAGCTATCAGGAAGGTTATTAATAATGGTATAACTAATATAAATAACCAATAATTAGCTATACCAACTACCAACATAGTACCAAATAATATACTGAATGACTGAAAATATAACAACATAAAATAAAATCAACTCACACATAAAATGTCCAAATGGAGTTTTGTATATCTGAAACATATGATATTACCCTGGGTCACTTATCATTTTGTGTAACTTGACGTCTAATAACTGTAAAAGTAAATCAATGACAAGGCATATGAAATATACTGCATAACTGTTTGCTACCCAAACTATAAATTGAACTTTTTAAAGATTACTGATAATTTTTAAACCCCTAATACAACTATGTGATATAACATTGGCCAGTTGGGTATGTTTACCATATTTCTGACAGGAATAAGGTTATTTTGATAATTCTATGTATTACTAACCTGAATACAATCAAGAAATAAAGCAGGAAGAGAATCCATTATACTGACATCTCTTAAAAAACGACTTAATACAGCTCCTATAATTACAATTCCAAACAATTTATCATCCAAATATAGTAGAATATTAGAATCAGTTCATGTAAATATTACTCTAAACTTCACACTAATAACATAGGATATTCTATGAACTTCTTTACTCTTAATACTAATGGGATATTTCATCAAGATTAGGATTCATCTAGTTTTTGATAAACTTTGTGGGACTCAAAGATAGGAAACGACATTGCACATCATTTCATAAACTAGCTTTGTGTTTAATACAGAAATGTTCTTTAAATTATATTGAAAGATCTATTTGTGCCTGAAAATGGGGCAAAATTGTACTGATTCATTTAAGAGGGATGTGAAAAAACATTACGTTCGACTTACCTATAGTGTTGGAGTCAAAGAAAGATATAGGAGCCTGCATCATTAGTATTAAAGCCATATTATGAAGGACATGTGAGGCTCGTTTTGAAATATAGAAGAAAAAGCTGGCTTGAAGAAAACCAACCACTAGAGTAACAAATACAACAGCTAAATATATATATACTCTTGCATCTAATGTATTTAATGCTGGACCAAATACAGTATTATTAACTAATAGTGTTGAATTCATATTTTGGAACTCTTCAGCCCTGTAAGGAAAAAATATAAACAATGAAATACTTTTAGCAAACAAAGTCAATGTAATTTGTCCATTCTTTTGGTGTCTATTTGTAATTGAATGCAAGCAAATGAATTTGTGTGTGCTCTAAAAAAAACTCTGAAATTCAAATAACTTCTTCTTCGATCAAAAAAGGGTAAGATTTCTGCATGATGTGGAAATTGAAAATTAATCTTTTATAATGTATTCATAATGTATCCATCAAATTTAATAATTCTGTTTCACTAGAAGCTATACATTGATAACTAAATGAAGACAGCATAACAACATTTGTGTAACAAGCTTTTTGTTAACATCAAGCCCTTAGCAATAGTAAGACTAAAACAAAAACTTAAACCTACCAAAATGCCAACCACCATTCACATAATATATAGCCTGCCTGAAAACAAAACACTACAATAAACATACACAGCAACAAGTACATTAATGATATATGCAAGGCCGATGATGTCATATTAGACCTTCAATATATTCAGCTGCCAAATTTGTCTTTTATCATGAGGGCCAAATTATATCAAGTTAATCACAAAATAGTTAACTTTCTGGTGTGAGGTTCTAACTAAAGTATTAAAATATCTTGTGGTGAAATGGCTGCCACCGAATACAATAGAGACAAAACATTGCATTCAGCACAATAATGGCAACCTTCAGAAAATTTCAAAAACATAAAATGAGAAATTATGCAAGGAAAAGCTGAATAAAACAAGCATATAAAATTATCTGAATAATACAAAAGTAAAGCAGGGATTAGATCATCAACAAATGGGTGAAAGCTACAACTAATCACATTGATTTTTATAGCTCAAATAAATATACACAAGGAAAAAGGCTAGTATCTGTTAGCACATTTAACATAACAGAAGTGAAAAAAATGTGCTATTGTACATTAGGCATATTGCTCTGATTGTCTCCCTTGATGTGTCAAGGGAGATAATTATACAGCGCGGAAAACTGTGATCCAAAAGCATCCTTAGCTTTATTGCCCAATAACATGCAACATAAAACTTACCAAGTGATTGGGTGAAAATCAAAACTTGTATCAAAACAGTGTTGTCAAAGAAGAAATTGTGGATGTCAAAAAATAGACTTACTTACATATTTTATGAATTATAGAAGAGCCGGTAAAGAAATATACAAAATAAACAGTATATCGAGAAGGCATGACTATTCATTCCTATTCAGCTTACTGTGTTCATTAAGTAGGCTATATTATTAGAAACTTAGCCTCCAAACAGGCCGTCTTTATGAAGCATTTTATACCCTTAACATGTGTCCATATTATAATTGGTTTATAGAAAATATACAATTAGCTCTAGATAATATCAAGCTTATATAAAACAATGACTAACCTGTGTACAAATTGAAAGTAGAAAAAATATAAATATTCCACAACATCCACCTCCAATTAAAAAGAAATGTCTGTAAACACTTGAACTAGGTGAACTGGAATGATAACTTGGGTCTGTTTCACCTACGAAAAATGGGTCTGATGGGTCCTACAAAATATGATATTCAGTAAAATAAATTATAAAGAAAGGAACATCCTTGTTTACTTAGATACCAACTTCAGCTCACTTGAATCTATGTACCAGCTAAACTCATGTCAACATAGGTACATGCAGTTATTTTGGCTGGGATAATGAGGAAAGATGACTCATTCTCTTAATTTGTCAAGCTTATTTACAGTTTACCAAATATGGTGCCCCAAGTTCAGTTCTGGTAAATGAAACAAAATGAAATGGAGCAATACTTTTCTTTACCTGATTGTGCTAAGGAAAACAAGCCATTCCATGCAGTGTGTATAAAGGAAAATTTTGCCAGGTCATTGGCATAAACCTAGGGATCTTTAAAGTTCAAAGCCTTGGATTATTTTCCCATCTGATTTACATCATTAATTTATGAAATCATGACTTATAAAAACAATGAAGATAATTTTACCTTTACTTCATGATGTAAGATTTCCAGTGAACCATTTAAACTATCTTTAATAGTAGTATCAGGGGTTGAGGAAGCAGGCGTCACCAAGTTACTTCCCCCTGATTCATTCAGTAAAGGTGTAGAATAATCTGTTAATTTTGTTATGTCCATATTTTTATAAATACCAGCTGATAGAAAATGATTGGTATTCATTCCCCATTTCTCTAATTCATCAAAATCACCACAATAATGGACATTTCCCTGGAAAGAAAAGGCTTTCAATTAACAAAGATGATTTTACACATAAAATACATTCTAATACACACATTTATCCATCACACAATTAAAACCACAGGATATTCTTCAAGTTGGATTCTCTTGTTTTGCCAGTTTAAACATCCAAACATCAAAAATTGTACCCCCCTTTCAAACATAGCTTGAAATCTGTTCCAAAAACTTAATACAGTATCTGATCAGATCAAAAAACTGTGCAACAATCATAGATCAAGGCAGCTTACCTGTGACATTACTAGTATTTGATCAGAAACTTTAGCATGATGCATATTATCTGTTACTAAAACACGAGTTTTAGATCGTAATATACCACATATACACCTACAAATATTGTTAAAATCAATCTCACAAATTTTACATTGTACAGCAACAGACTCTGATTGTCTTTTCAAGTATTGATTATGCGTTTGAATAACTTTCACACTAGTATTATAACCACAATTTCTAGGCCTAAATAGTATGATTATTAAAACCAAAGTTTGTGAACATTAAATATTTATTACCATAATAAGGAAAATTCTATATTTTGGAAGTATTTTGGAGTCTTACTTTTTATAAATCAACATGGCTGACTTGGCATCCATACCACTTAGTATATCATCTATTAAATAGATATCAGCATTCTGGTACACAGCTCTACAACAATGTAAAATATTACTGATTAATAACATAAGTATTATTCTGGATATTTAATCCAGGCCTATTTATCAATTCATTTATTCTTCTGCAACAGAACTAGTCTTTTCGTCTTACCTGCACATAAAACAGAAAAGAAAGTCTTTACTGAAAGATGGGGAATATGCAATATTATCACTTAATATTACAGTGTCTTGTTGATTCTTTAATCTGAAAAGGGTGTACATTATTCACAGAATTTTGTTTCCTTGAAAGTAAGAAAGGGTGCCCATTATATTCACCATTATATGATACATAAATATGTGGTAAATTTCTGAAGTATGTGCCGTACACTATTTACAGATAAAGGTATAACCTTACCTTGCTAGTGTTATTTTAGCTTGCATTGTACTATCTATATTAACCCCCCTCTCACCAACTAATGTTAAATCTTTCTGGGGTAAGGCATCAATCCACTGAAAATAGAAATATGAGTCAAAAGAACAATTTGAAATTAATGAATCGAATAGAATGGCAGACGAACATCCTTCAATCCATTCATATTTTTTGCTGTACTTTAGAACCCTATTACAAAGATCTCAATCTATCTTTAAAGTCATCTTGTGACCTTTTCAGTGAGTGCTCTTGCTTTGCTTATGCATCAAAAATTATAATATAACCCATATAAGCCATGCAGCAAAACTATTGACATAATGCCCGAAACAGTTGTTGATCAAGATTAACATTAAATCAAAGAATACTCCACTTACAGAAGATAAAGCACAAGCTTGTAAAACTTGATTGTATCTATAACGGCCAAACTCTGCCCCAAACACAACATTTTCTCTAATTGTTGCAGGAAATAACCAGGGTTGACATGGAACATAGGCTATACGACCTTGATGGTACACACAACCTTTCTGTTTCTCTAGTTCACCTATCACTGCCATTAATAAATAACTCTGAAATACCAATACCATCAAATTCACATTAAAACTAGAAACCAAAAGAAATACCAAGCTTTTTTTTATTTTTATATGAGTTCCCATTCCAAAATATTTCTCCCTTTCCAAACTCTTCAATGTGTTTAATAGTACTATTAATTAATCTCTACACCTTTACAAAAGTCTGTTCAAGACAGAGGTAAATCGAACTGAGCCTGTTTCAATTAAAATCATCAACTTACCTGTCCATTATCTGGAGGTCCTATTACAGCATATAAATTATTCTATAATACACATCAAATGTTTTTAGTATTATGGTCTATGGAATATCATTGTGTCTAACAATATTTGCTTTATTTGAAAAGAATTTCCACTGCTACAGGCAGCTACAGAAAGATATTAGTTTTGAAATGTGCTATTGGTTTCTCTAAACATGATTTATGATATATTTAAGAAAAAAAAACTCACTTTTTCAAGATCTAAATCAATATTAGCTAAAACTACTGGAGAATCAAGATCCTGCAAAAAGTCAATAATTCATAAAGAAATAGATGTAGATTGTATTTCAAATGACCACTGTTATAAAGGTAATTTTGTGAGAAATGCAGTTCAAGCAATGATTCAAAATTACCTGTGCTTCCCATTTCTATCACTAGTTCTCTGTGTAAAGTAAATTCTCATTTCTAAACTTGATAAGGATATTGTAGATATGTGTCAGTAGCATGAAGAGAGATCTTGTCAATTAGATTTGTTCTTAGTATAATATTCTCAATGTTGGTGTTCATCAAAGAGTTCACTCCTGTAAAGTCAATGCTTATCTCTAAACTAGCTGTGCTGATAAAGATTTTATATATCAAATATGTCCCCTCAGATCAGCTCTCATAAATGGATAGTGACAGTATAGGTTTCCATTGAAAATCTACTTTTTATACCTTATTTTTTTTCGCATAATATTTAGAAAATCTTACAGCTACAGATTCATTTAGGTTTTGATAACCAGCTCTACTTAATGTTGACATGGTTGCTCTTTCTTCCAGCATCAAAATCTCCTGCAACAAAATTTTTGTATCATTTCAAATTCACCAAAGCATCTTTCATTTCACGCTAACTAAATATTATATTTCTGGATAAATTCGTCAGAGTTTTACAACCCTAACATCAAGTAGAGTACAGATCTTTTTTTTTTTATCAGATCCCATAAGATAGTCACAAAAACAGAGGGAATACATTTTCAACTTACCTGAATTTTGGAGACTGTTTTCATTGCATCAGAAAAGAACAATATCCCAGAAGGCAACAAAATACTGACACTCATTCGTAATATTTCAAATAAGGCCATAGATGTGAAAATTTGCATAGCAATCACTTTTTGTCCCGTGACTAAAACTAACATAAAGGTCACAAACATCACTAGTTTACCAGCAGTTAATGTTAAGGCACTATTAAAACTTAATAATCGTAATAACTTCTTCATTTGATACAACTCTTCACTGAAAACAGACAAGATATATTTCAGTAATGGAGTTCAATCAAAGTCTATATTTTGCATAAAGACTACGGTCTTATGCTTCTGAGAATGTCTGCACGCCCAAACTGCTATGACACAGATTATTTCCCAATAATTCTTTCACTTTGACTGAATCTTGAAGACAATATCTTTCGAAGCCACAAGGCTCTCATACAGTGATTAAAGATTGAACTCTTTTAAGTGTTTTAGAATTAAAAAATGAAGAAAGCACCTCCTCCATAAAATTCAAGAAATCTTACTTCCTAGAACTGATGATAATCCTTTCACAGAATTTTTCCCAGCAACCCATTTTTATTTCCTGGATACCATTTATCATAAGTTGTAGTTTACGTAATCTGTGATTGGTAAAATTATCTGTTTTTTGTCTGTAAGAAAAACACAAGCATTTCTAGTTACAACACACAAACTGAGTATACAAACTGATATTTCATTGCACATTTCTTTACCAAAATAAACTTTTCATCAAAACATTTTGACATGAATCACTCTTATGATGGAGATTTATTTTCCTCAAATGTAATAGTAAATATTATGTGAGCTTAATTTCAACCAATATTAAATAATTGCATGAATACATGACAGGACAAATCATTTATAAATCATTTTAAAAAGTTGAGAAAAGAACATAACCATACCTTAAAATACGGGAGAGTTTTCCCATTAATATTTGTAAAGGAAATAATAAGATTAAAACTAAGAGACCAGCAAGACAAACAGGACCCAGCTTTAACCAGTCCCATAATAAATAACTTATAATAATTAACTGTATTGGTGCTATCACAATATACGTAGCTGGTAATACAACCTGTAAATAAATACATCCACATTTCAATTCCAGGAAACATTCAAACAACACATTCCATTATTCTATTGTATCTAATATTCTGAAACATATCATTCTGATTTCACTCTGGGTTTTCCAACTTTGCATCTCTTTTGGAGGTTTTTATTGCAAAGAAATTTTCTTTCCGCAGAAATCTATTTTAAATGAATATGCAAGAGAAATCATTCCCAAAATCTAATAAAATGTGGCTATATAAGAATTGACAACCCATCAAATGAAATGAAATAAAAAGAAGCTTGGCGTTCTATACATCTGCTCCAAAATTTTATAAAAAGCCCATTAGACTAAAACCTACCATAGGAAAGACATCCATTTCTCGGGTAGTGAGATTCATTATATCTTCCATTATTTTAGGAGTTAAAATATGACTGGATAATTTCATCACCTGAAAATATTGATGGAAAGACCACATCAAAGAGAGTCAGCAAAATATGATCATGTTTTAACCACAAATTTAGCAAGCCCTTTTAGTGTAAAAAGATATGCATTACACACAAATATATAGTATTGTTCAACACTAGTTATTGAAGAGTCATTCAACATAAAATTTGTAATAACTCTTCTCTTCTTTCTCTTTCATTATCGATTTTCTGGCAATCTTTATTATAAATTATACTTTAATTAATCCTTACCTTCCTATATATCAAAGAAGTAGCTGCTACCCTCATTCTATATCCGTGATGAAAAAAATTATGATCCAAAAATATGTTGACTAGACAAACGATACATAGAAATGTTGCAAAAATATAAACATCTGGGAATCGAAACTTGTTTGGTGATTTAACATCCACGTCAAATATACTTATAAAATAACCCATTAATACAGCTTGTATCACTCGTAAACATTCCTAAAATAGAAACATCACATTTGCATAATTACATCAAAACAGTTTTTATGATCTAAAAATTGCAGATCATCAACTAATATAAGCACACAAAGTAATGAAAAAGTGTGCACAATTAGTATTGAAGTTGAATTCCTGTTAAATTATCTGTAATTTCTTAAATTACATTCAGTAAATTAAGTGGGTCTGTATCTTTTCATATTTTCTTCTTTTATCTTTGGATACACTAATATACACAAACTTTGAGCAGAATCTTAAAAACTATGCAATAAAATATCACCATCTTATGATGAATTCATCAAAGAACAACTGAATTAACAGTTTTAACATTTAAAAGCTAGATGGTTTTTCAAATTAATGTCAGAAACTTATCATTTTTCACTGAAGAATTTGTTTTTCATGTGATCTGAAAGAAAATGTATGCTACATTGCTATCAAGCTAAATATACACAGACTTGATCTTTAGTTTTGGGGCTAAAATATTCTCTATGAATTTCTCATAAAATTTAATGAAAAGTGAATACTTTGTACATCTTCAAGAATATCAGAATACACATAATGTTTGAAAATGAATATATAAGTGCTGTAATGTTTGTACACAACCACAAAACAGTTAAGTTTGTCCGACATACTTATAATAAGGGATAAGAGTGTAACAATAGGCTGACTGCACTGAAAGCACTGATACAGTCTTCACAATGTCAATCTGCCACAAACTGCTTGACTGCAATATGTAACTCTCTTGTATCACGAAATTTTGTAAATGTAGCGATTTCGTTGGATTGTATGGATTGAAGGAAATCAGATTCAGGCTCTGATTGGCAAGAAAGGCAGCAATTACAAGTAGCAAGTATAAGACTAAGTTCGTAATATCTTGATATTGTAAAGATACAGGTGGATTTGTACCCCTCATGGGTCATTCCTCTGGCAACAACAATCAACTTTGATTTATGATCAGTTAGATAATCCTATTCAGGCCATGCCAGGCAAACAAGAAAATGTGAAATACGTTAATTTGGGTTACCTCTAAAACAATTAGTAAAACATAAGCAATAATCTGTGGTCTGTAGCACCTCCATAATGCTCCACATAAACTAGGTCTTCCCCCTTTCTTCCATCTGTATAACTCTTTCTCCCATTCCCTAAAATATCATAACAAATATCTTTATATGAACAAAACAGTATGACATAAAAAGAGGTGTTGTGTTTAACTCTTCTTTTCCTTATTAGCTTATTAAAGACAAGCAGCATTTTGAAGAGAGTACTTCGATGGTAGTTAATGTTAATTACTGTCAGCAAATCTAAGAAATCTCTAGAAAACCAGTACAGGAGCAAACATTACTTTTATTTTCAATCCACAGTGTTTTTGACAGGAATAAGGTTGTCAGATCAAAAATTTGTAGAAATCTGCAGAAAATAATGAAACATCTGGATGTGTAATTTAAACAGATTGAATGTCTTACCTGCCCAAACTATTTGAAAGTTTAACTGTGGAATCTTGTGGTAAAACATCATAAACATCAGCTTCATCTAGAGTATGGTGGTAACCTTTCCAGAATATACGACCTGTCCACCTACAAAACACAAGTTTTAACTTTGTACTTGTTTTAAGCGGTATGTGAAGAACTACAAAAAAAACTAGATCATTAATTCAATTACTTTTAATCTGGTGCTCCAATTAGAGGTTTGAACACGAATACTGAAATATTCAGTAGCAAATTTCTGTCCAGGACATAATCTAAAATATTAACTTTTTAAGTGTGTACTTGAAGATTTATTCCAGCAATGTGTGAAGAGCTCACAAAAATAAGCCCATTAATGAGTTATAATTAATAATGGAGATCCTGTTGGAAGACTTTAAATTATTCCAAAAATATTGAAATTTCGAATAGCAAATTTCTGTCTTGGTAAAAATCGAATCTGAGCACAAATAAATGAAAAAAAACATCAAGAATTTTGAAGTATGTATAAATTTCCATTTAGAAAAAAAAAAATCACATAGCACACAAAAAAAGGATAAACCCATAAAGATTATTGAAAATTGTACATGTATAAATCCATAGTAAATATTCACATCCACTTCTTACTGATTTCATTCAGAATATAACAGAAAGTCGTTATTCTGGTGGTATTAGAGTTACGTGAGAAACTATAGTATAGAAATGGGGTGATCTGAATTCTTAATTAATAGTCATCTCTTAAAAAATTGGTCAAAACAAAAGAAAGGAAATAAATGGAGACAATGTCAATGTTCTACATTGTCTTCTGTCACTCCATCATTTTTCTTGTTTGACTACTTTTTATCTTATTCTGCTCTCAACATATTTTGACCCTAGTCGTGTTTTGGGAAAAGGTCAACTGTTGTAATTGATAATCTCTTTAATCTAGAGTCTAATTTCAGCTCTATTCAAGTAAAAATATAAAATTTTCCAAATTCAGACAGGCAGACAGGAAGCTTGACCTTATTTGAATACTAATGTTGAATTTTAATGAAGGTTTTTACTATAACAAGTTTAAAAAAAACTTATGAATGAACTTCTTATAGATACTTGAAAATCTTTCACCTTTCATTCATATGTTTTGTTTTTGAACATTTTTGACTATCGATAGGACTCATCCCTTGATGATAAATTGTATTTGCCAAAGTTTTGTCAAAATTTGACACAAACTGTGCTCTGTAGGAGAATACTAACTAAAATTTATTTTTTCATTTAATTCTGTCAATAATTGTGCATTATACAAAGTTTACAATTGTCAAGAACAAGAATTTTGATGTTTTTTTTTTCGATAGGATTCATCAATTGGGGAAAATGTTTTGTGAAAATTTGTCTATTATGTCTAGGTCTTTTGGAGAACTAATGAGCAATAATGGATAAAGATAAAGACATTGCTCAATCATGAATAAAACTATGAGAGCAACATTAAAAATTAACTTCAATTCATCAAAAATCTATCACACTACCTCAAAAGTGAAATGCAAATTTAACACTTTAAAAATAACCTCGTCAAAGACCACATCAAAAGTTTTTAATGTCCATGTTTAGGTAGGGTTATGTAACAGTAAGGGACTAGACTCTTCAATGTCCACATAAACCTCATAATTAATTCAAGCTTTCAAACCAATTTGTTTGTAGAGCTTTACACTCAAATCTTATTTACACATAGAACTCTAGAAATTAAACAGAAATGAATTATTCAAATGGTAAAATTTTCACACTTTCTTCAGTGATACAATAATTCTACAAATTCTTATATTTTAATTTTGATAAAATGTATCACCTTCCACAACTAGCATTTAAATTGAGAAAATCTACTACTCTCAACCTTACTAAAATAGTAAATAGTGCTGTATGCAATTTACTGAGTATATTGTATTTTAATCATGATAAATTTTGTTTTGATGAATTGTACTTAATATTATAATAAACACACTACATTATGTTGAATTGCACTTTACATCATGATAAATATTATATTGTACTTTACATTATAATATACTGTAGGCCTACTTCACATTATTATAAATTGTACTTGACATTATTATAAATTGTACTTGACATTATGATATACTGTACTTCACATTATGATCAAATGTACTTTACATTATGATATACTGTACTTCACATTATTATAAATTGTACTTTACATTATGATATACTGTACTTCACATTATTATAGATTGTACTTCACATTATTATAGATTGTACTTCACATTATTAGATTGTACTTCACATTATTAGATTGTACTTCACATTATGATCAAATGTACTTCACATTATGAAATACTGTACTTCACATTATGATCAAATGTACTTTACATTATGATATACTGTACTTCACATTATTATAAATTGTACTTTACATTATGATATACTGTACTTCACATTATCATAAATTGTACTTTACATTATGAAATACTGCACTTCACATTATGATCAAATGTACTTTACATTATGATCAAATGTACTTTACATTATGATATACTGTACTTCACATTATTATAGATTGTACTTCACATTATGAAATACTGTACTTCACATTATGAAATACTGTACTTCACATTATTATAGATTGTACTTCACATTATGAAATACTGTACTTCACATTATGATCAAATGTACTTCACATTATGAAATACTGCACTTCACATTATGATCAAATGTACTTCACATTATGAAATACTGTACTTCACATTATGATCAATTGTACTTTACATTATGATATACTGTACTTCACATTATTATAGATTGTACTTCACATCATGATTAAATGTACTTCACATTATGAAATACTGTACTTCACATTATGATCAAATGTACTTTACATTATGATATACTGTACTTCACATTATCATAAATTGTACTTTACATTATGATATACTGTACTTCACATTATGATCAAATGTACTTTACATTATAATATACTGTACTTCACATTATGATCAAATGTACTTTACATTATGATATACTGTACTTCACATTATTATAAATTGTACTTTACATTATGATATACTGTACTTCACATTATGAAATATTGTACTTCACATTATGATCAAATGTACTTTACATTATGAAATACTGTACTTCACATTATGAAATACTGTACTTCACATTATGATCAAATGTACTTCACATTATAAAATACTGTACTTCACATTATGATCAAATGTACTTTACATTATGATATAGTGTACTTCACATTATTATAAATTGTACTTTACATTATGATATACTGTACTTCACATTATCATAAATTGTACTAGACATTATGAAATACTGCACTTCACATTATGATCAAATGTACTTTATATTATGATCAAATGTACTTTACATTATGATATACTGTACTTCACATTATTATAGATTGTACTTCACATTATGAAATACTGTACTTCACATTATGAAATACTGTACTTCACATTATGAAATACTGTACTTCACATTATGATCAAATGTACTTCACATTATGATCAAATGTACTTCACATTATGAAATACTGTACTTCACATTATGATCAAATGTACTTCACATTATGATATACTGTACTTCACATTATGATCAAATGTACTTCACATTATGAAATACTGTACTTCACATTATGATCAAA